CAAAGCATAAGGGACATTGTTGGGACACCATGTGATCTCACTTTTTTTGTAGTTGATCTGTAACCTACGCGACCTGCTAGATTTTGACCAGAGATCTGGCGGGCCAGTACGGTATATAAGTGTACAGTTTCATTGTAGTTCAGTTCAATGTCTTCTAATAAATATTCTGTTACTGACCGTCTTCCGAAGGACACAACACATTTATTCTTTGAAATCACTTTATTATATGAATCACAATTTAGTGTGTTGATTTGCTTGTAAGTTTGTCTGTGTGCTTGTCCGCAAAATGAAATGAGTGATAAGGCAGTTAATGGAATAAGCAAGCCGCTAACAAATCTACTTAGCTCGCAGGGCTTGCCTATCAATGTTTTGTAATGGCATGATTGTGATAACACCTCAACGGCTATATAAACACCTACGAGCACACTTTTGGTCATTCCTCAAGGTGCTGCAGTGGCAGCTGGAGAGCAATGGAGGAGGGAAGCAAAGATTACGCAGAGGAGGTACGGCGATTGCCGAGGACCAAGCTGATTTTTTCAAAGTAGAAGTTGTGCAAGAATATCTGTCAGAGGATCAATTCCAGCTTTCCTTGACAGATATTTCATTCCTTTTCTGGTATCCACAGGCCCGCTCAGAAATAATTGAATATATCTCTATGTTCCATGTACTTGCCCCCTCCAATGCCGGAGAAGATTCTGCGAAAGCGCTCCATATCCTGAAAGACTTTCCTGATTAGAAGGAGATAACCCAAGATGCAAAATTTTGTGATCAGCCAAGATCGATCCCTTAGATGATCCATTTTTCGTTTTATCTATTTAAAGGCTATTTTAGGAAAAGCCCTCCATATCCTGGGAGAGCTTTCTTATGCTTTTGACCAGCGTTTGTGATAACATCACAATAGTTAACGATCCGTCGAGAACCCGTTGAGCTCGTACCGTGCACCGTGCTAACAAACCAAAACATTCTGATAACGTCGGGGCAGAAGAGTCTTATGGAAACTGTTGGTACAAAAATATGCTCTTCAATTTCACTTCTGCAAAGTGTAGGTAATTCCGCTCTATATGTGTAGAGGAGTGACCTTTCTTTTTCTATGTAGTACCATGAGTATAATTATTACAAAGAATTCGTGCGACGTTTCTCGGGGGGGGGGGAAGGGTAAAGTATTGAAAATAGCACAGCACGCTAGTGGACTCTATCTAGGAAATAAATGAATAATGAGCATATAAATTGCACAAGGATACATCACAGATCATTTGAAGATTTATTTAAAAGTTCTGTTACAATTGTATAACTATAGAACTGTTGATTTGGCACCGCAGTTGACTATAGCATGCTCAATGAGAGTTGACATCTCTTTAGCTGTTGAAGCGAATTCCTTCAACTGAAAATAATGGTGTCCATACACACAAATATGAACGCTTAGCCCAGCAATTTTTCATGGTGAAAAACTGAAGTATGCTTTAGTGTTTTGAATTTTTGATTTCAAATTTTCAACTGCCATTACATCTGCACACATTCTTCCAGTGGCTTCTAATGAGTAATTTTCAGAAAATTCTAAAGATATCTCCAGTCGGGGCCATCTAATGACGTGTTATTATACAGTACAATGACCAATGGGTCTGCGAATGCTATGGTGTATACCTGGTCACAGTCCACATCAAGAATGGTGAAGACCACGGCGAATTTGCCGCCTATGTTCATTGCTTCCTCGTGAATCATGTCGTGGTTGTGGATGAGACCGCGTTCGTACGCATGCTGCTCAATCTAAATTATTTTGATCGCATGCAATAATAGTCAATTAGTGTCAAGGGTTGAGAAGAAGGGAAGGGGCAGGAGCAAAAATGGTCTTAGCTCTGCTTCGATGGTACTGTGTTGCTAACCGTGTATCCGACGGCACTCATGTAGATTGGATTCATTTTCGGATTGAAGTTGGCTTTAGTAACGACAATAGCCTGTGCATGCTCGACTTCACGTTTTCGCCCAGTGGCAGTACCAGTGGTACCGGTTGCTCCACCAGTACCAGTTGCCCCTCCAGTTCCAGTGGTACCGGTTGCTCCACCAGTACCAGTTGCCCCTCCAGTTCCAGTGGTACCGGTTGTTCCACCAGTGCCGGTTGTTCCACCAGTGCCGGTTGTTCCACCAGTGCCGGTTGTTCCTCCAGTTCCAGTTGTCCCAGACTTCGGAGCGCAGGCCTGTAACAGAGTACAATGTTATGTTATCATGCCGATATTCTTTTTCTAACAAATATTTTCAAAGTGTCATAGTTTGTTCCAACTGTTCATGAATTTTATATCCTCATATGTTCACAATCTGTGGCCCTAAATTATCATTAGCACACTTACCAGCGAGGTCGCGATGACACTGAGAATAATTAGCAAATGAACCATGGCGATTTGTTACGCAGCGACACGGTCAATAATTCGTTGCCTAGGTAGATAAATGTTAGTCAAACCCAATGATCAGATTATGATTTCAAACAACAGCGAGTATCCTGATCCGAAATCCTAACAACTCCGTCTTAGTTTTGCCTCACCAATATCGCTGGAGTCGCAACTTCAAACGTTAGGTTTTAAAACCAGGGGGAGTTTCTGAGTCCAAGAAACATTGTGCGAAAAGAAGATCATTCCACTCCACATCTTCAAAAGAATCTGCTAACAAAGACGTCTTCATGATGACGGCCCCTCTAATTTTTCACTATATTGCTTTAGAAATAATAAAGCATAAGAGTTATTATCAAACTTTTCTGTAGGTAATTTTGCCATTGATTCGTATAGGAACGAATTTACATGGGCCGCAGTGATTACAGGTGTGAATGAACCTCTGTGAGAGCAAACAAGTAGTACTGTTGGAGGTCGGCTGGTCGGCCGTTATTTATGCTCACCATTGCGGTTCAGAGTTTAGGAACAATGCCTCTGTGACGCTTCTCGCAGGTGTTTTCGTGATCAAATATATTAGCGAAGCAATTATCTAACGTTGGTACACAAAATGATTTTGTTTACCAACGTTTCAGAGAAAAAAATTGGAATAAATTTTATGGAATATCATGAAATATTTTCCGGAATGGTGGTTGCGGAATTTCATTATCCATGATGGCTTTCTTGGTATGTCCACACATTGTTGCGACACTGTTGCGAAGATGACTTTGGATTTGATTTGCAGCAATGAAGGGATTCAATCGACCTCTCACATGTTGGTTAGAGGCGGTTAGAAAATTTCAGTGCATACCAAAGCTCGCACTCCAAGATGCTGCATTCGCCGTGTAGCATTAGCATTGCTCCATCGTATTATTGCCTCCATGGGATCTCAAATAGCAGTTGCGAGAAAAAATGTAAAAGGTACAATCACGCAAAAGCTGAATTCTCCAAATTCTAAAGCCCCAGCTTCAATCATTCTGGAGAGGTAAACGTCCAAACATTTTCAGTAACAGCATGCGTATCACTGTCCATGCGGTGGTACAGTGTTGATCAGTTGTTGCTTGGGAGAGTGAAACTTGAATAAACAAAAGTGTTAAATGCGGACAAGATTTATAGGTTGAGCCAATATTCCTTATCAAGATCCTCATGCGAATTTCGGATAATCCCGAAATTATTCGGGATTATCCGAAATGCGCTCGCCACTCAACAGATGCCCATTTTCAAAAATTTCAATTTATCACGTCGATGTAGAGAGGACTGCATAGAAACCTATGTGAAAAAATGGAGCAGGTATTTATCCATGAAATCACCTTCGAGAAGCGTCACAAAGGCATTGTTCCTACGCTCTGAACCGCAGTGGTGAGCATAAATAACGGCCGACCAGCCGACCTCCAACAGTACTACTTGTTTGCTCTCACAGAGGTTCATTCACACCTGTAATCACTGCGGCCCATGTAAATTCGTTCCTATACGAATCAATGGCAAAATTGCCTACAGAAAAGTTTGATAATAACTCTTATGCTTTATTTCTGAAGCAATATAGTGAAAAATTAGAGGGGCCGTCATCATGAAGACGTCTTTGTTAGCAGATTCTTTTGAAGATTTGTGGAGTAAACGGAATGATCTTCTTTTCGTACAGTGTTTCTTGGACTCAGAAACTCCCCTGGTTTTCAAAACCTAACGTTTGAAGTTGCGACTCCAGCGATATTGGTGAGGCAAAATTAAGACTGGAGTTGTTAGGATTTCGGATCAGGAAAGTACTCGCTGTTGTTTGAAATCATAATCTGATCATTGGGTTTGACTAACATTTATCTACCTAGGCAACGAATTATTGACCGTGTCGCTGCGTAACAAATCGCCATGGTTCATTTGCTAATTATTCTCAGTGTCATCGCGACCTCGCTGGTAAGTGTGCTAATGATAATTTAGGGCCACAGATTGTGAACATATGAGGATATAAAATTCATGAACAGTTGGAACAAACTATGACACCTTGAAAATATTTGTTAGAAAAAGAATGATATCGGCATGATAACATAACATTGTACTCTGTTACAGGCCTGCGCTCCGAATTCTGGGACAACTGGAACTGGAGGAACAACCGGTACTGGTGGAACAACCGGTACCACTGGAACTGGAGGGGCAACTGGTACTGGTGGAGCAACCGGTACCACTGGAACTGGAGGGGCAACTGGTACTGGTGGAGCAACCGGTACCACTGGAACTGGAGGGGCAACTGGTACTGGTGGAGCAACCGGTACCACTGGTACTGCCACTGGGCGAAAACGTGAAGTTGAAGGAAATCGCTTCAACAGCTAAAGAGATGTCAACTCTCATTGAGCATGCTATAGTCAACTGCGGTGCCAAATCAACAGTTCTATAGTTATACATTTGTAACAGAACTTTTAAATAAATCTTCAAATGATCTGTGATGTATCCTTGTGCAATTTATATGCTCACCAGTTTTGCTTCGCCCGCTATCGCGCGCATCACACGGCAGGCTTTAGCGAAACTGGAGGACCCATGGAATATCAGCATGAGATACTCCATTAACCATCTCACTATTGACTGTGTTAGACCCTCCACAGTTTCACTGAAGCTCATCGAGAATACGCGTGATAACGTCTGGAGCTGAACTGGTATATTGATCACAACTGTAAACATCCAGCATTTTTCTTGAATTAAGATAATTTAGCGGTGAATAGGATTTTGTGTCAGTCTCAAAATGAAAACGAAATATGCCTATTTACATAAGTGAGGAGCTAATGCTTATCATTCATTTACATTCACCATTATTTAGAACCCCGAAAGGATTAGCGGTTTAATGAGTTTGGGTTTTCTTGATAGTGCGTCAGAAATGAACTTATCATTTGCTGAAGTTTAGGTTTATGCATTCTATTAAGCAAGCACACAATTTGTAGTGGAACGCTCCAGTGTCAACGCTTTGTAACGGAATCGACGACTGCAGCGTTCTGGCGCACCTTATCGGCCCTTATCAATCGTTATCAGTTTCTGGCACCCACCAACAATGTCCCCGTCCCACCCCACATAACACTTGTAAGTATGGTTGCTCTGGTGTCAACGCGAGCCAGGCAACGGAATCGACGACTTCAGCGTTCTGGCGCGCCTTATCGGCCCTTATCAATCGTTATCAGTTTCTGGCACCCACCAACAATGTCCCCGTCCCACCCCACATAACACTTGTAAGTATGGTTGCTCTGGTGTCAACGCGAGCCAGGCAACGGAAAGGCGGAATCGACGATTATGCCAGCAGTATCTGGCGCAACTTTTCGGGCCCTTAAGTGCAATATGCCGTATCAATGATTGATGCATCCTACAGACCAGATGTGACAACACTGTCCCACCCATCATTCTTTGCTATTTCAGACGTTTGTCCCGCTTGTGGCGGGGTTCCGCTTATGCTGATGTGCTCGCATCGCCACTTCCGATTAAGCATGGTCGCTGATTAAAAGGCATGCCCCAGGATCGCACTGGTGTGGCTCTTGCACACGAATGTGAATGTATCGGTGCCAAGTGGGCCGGCAGTGAAGAAAAAAGGAAAAGAATCCGTCGAAAACGCTCAGGTTGAGGGCTCACTCACCTTCCTAATTGGCTGTGCTAAAGGAACGAGAGACTAAGCGCGAAGAGGAGAGTATGGGGCGAGAGAGCGCATCAGATGAGAGAGCACCAGACAACGGCCTGATAAGAGAGCTCGTTCGCTGCAGCTCGAGCAGCTTACTTTGCAAGCCCAAAGCGTTCTTGTCGGTCGAATTCCGTGCACGTGAACGCCACATTTGTGATTGTCCCCTAGGGTTCTATACTTCTGACCGAAGATCTGATTCACACGACCTCTGCCTGGGTTGTGATGTTAACCAACTTCAAGTCTGCGTGCAACGTATCGAGCCAGCGCTGTTTCGGGCGCCCCTTGGGCCGCTTTCCGTGCACGTCTATGTTGAGGCCGATCTTGCGAACACTGTCATCATTTCCGCGAAGAACGTGGCCAAACCAACGAAGCCGAGCTTCGCGCATTTTTATCAGCAATGGGAGCTACACCAAAGCGTTCTCGTATGACATCGTTCCGGACGCGATCTAATCGCGTGACACCAGCCGTCCAGCGCAGCATCTTCGTCTCCATTACACCGAGGCGAGTTTCAGTGTCCCTGGTCGCTGGCCAGCACTCAGCGCCGTACAATGCCACTGGTCTTATGACTGTCCTATAGATCTTCGATTTTAGGCGTTCTGGGATTTTCTTGTCACAGAGAACTCCCGTCATAGAACGCCACTTGGACCAAGCCGCACTCACACGCGAGTTCACCTCAGTACTCATACTGCCATCAGACGCAATTGCTGATCCAAGGTACTTGAATGTCGTTGCACGTGTCAGCTCTACTCCATTTATTTTGATAGAACCGCACTCGCTCGTGTCGGTTGTCAGGTACTCAGTCTTCCTAACGTTCAACCTGAGTCCGAACATCGCTAGGCGATCGCACCAAGCTTGCGCTTGTTGTTCGAGTACGTTTTTGTCTTCGCAGGCGAGGCATTCAGGTGTCGATCAGCATTAGAGAAGCGGTCCAGTTTGGGGGAGGCTTGGTTTCGGGCCGCGAAATTCTTGACCCGAGCCGCTGTCGGTATTCGCTCACTCGTTGAAGGAGGTTTAATCGCTCCGCGCGGAGCACGCGGACACAAGCCACAGAGCGCAAAATAGCCCGCAGACGCGGCACAACCTAATAGTGTTCTGGATACGCAGGCCGGAGCGCGTACATGCGAGAGAATGCTGTCAGTAGTCCCGGACATGAACGCGAGGTAAGCTACCGTCGTCAGCATAGAGAAGCGTCCATGGTGAGCCGGTTTCTGAAGATCTCTTGAGATGGCATCCATGACGACAACAAAAAGAAGTGGGGAAGCGCAGAGCCCTGATGTACCCCAACAGAGATGGGGAATTCCTGTCGAACGCCAGCTGACGTTTGCACTCGGCTCTTTGGGCTTGAGTAAAGCATGCGAACCCACTCGATAAGCTCTTCGGGGACGCCATGTTGTCGTAAGGCGTACCATATTACTTCACGTGGAACGCGATCAAAAGCCTTCTCCAAGTCTAGAAAGGCAAAATGCACCGGCTTTTGTTTTTCACGGTGTTTTTCTAGCAGAAGACGAGCGGCGGCGTGTATGGCATCAATGGTGCCGCAGCCAGTCACGAAGCCGCATTGGTTCACGGTAAGCTGGACTATGTCACGAATACGGCGATCTACAATTCGTTCGAATACCTTCATGCTGTGGGAGAGCAGACGAATTGGTCGGTAGCTCGTGCAATCTGCAGGACTCCCCTTTTTCTTCCAAATCGGGATCGTCGTACTCTGTTGCCAACTCTCCGGCACTTTCTTTTCTGCGACGACTTGGTTGAAGAAGTTCGTCAGCCACTCTGCTGGATTCCAGCACTGTGACTTCCACAGATCGGCCGCCAAGTCGTCGGGACCCGTTGCTTTACCTGTCTTCATCTTCTTCAAAGCCGCCTCTGTTTCGCTCACAGTTATCTTCGAGACAGGGCCGTGGACCGGAGGAGCAGAAGGTATTGGCGGGTGTGAGAATTCCACTGTCGAGATTTTCTCGAAGTAGTCGTGCCACCGCTTCACAGCCCTCTTGCGGTCCATTACGAGTCGCCCGTTCTCGTCATTGATGCCAAAGAACTTCTCGATATCTTCGGTCTGGCGATGGCGAGCCTTGGCTAGTTTGTAAATATAGCGTTCGCCGTCGCGCGTCTCGAGCTTCTCGCTAACGCCATCGAGATGAACTGCTCTAGCAACAGCCACAGCTTTCTTTGCTGCCTTCTTCGCGCTCTGATAGTTGTTCCAGTTATCGCTTGACTTGTCACCGAGAAACACTTGGTAGAGCCTTTTCTTCTCCCGTACTTTTTCTCTGACAGTGTCGGTCCACAGCCATGTCTGCTTGTCGATTTTCCGCCGTCCAGGCTTCGTAATGCCAAGCTCGGAGCGAGCAACACGAACTATCGCTTCTGTGGCACACAATTCCATGTTTCGTCGACGGTCGTTACTGGCGGTAGCCGAATGCGACTGAACAGAGCGGATTCCTTTTCTTTCAATCGCCACCACTTGATCCTTGCAGGCCCACACCGTTCGGCTTTCTTGGTCCTTGGAGGGGCAATCTTTAATGTGCAAATCAGTGGTCGATGTTGCGTAGCGACTGTCTCGTACGGCACTGTCTTCGCGTCCGTCACTAGCCCTCGATCACGTTGCCTCACAAGAACGAAATCAATCTGAGTTCTGGTCGATTACCGCTGGCCAAACCTCACTTAGCCAATCGTTATTATTGTGATGTAGTTCACGTCGGTGACGATACGTTCATTTTCTTCGTTCACGATGAGTGAGATGTGAGAGCCTTGGTATATCAAGTAATTCGCTCACCAAGACGGGCGGTTCGGACGCAAACCAAACCCACCATTGACACAGCTATAACCATCTTTCGCAGATCCAACGTGTCCATTAAGGTCACCTGCGACAATGATAGCGTCCTCCGATGGTACCTCAGCGGTTTTCTCATCTAACAGGGCCCAGAACTCGTCCTTGGCTCGTTCGGAGCAGCCAGTCTGTGGAGCGTAAGCAGAAAAGATGTGGTATTGACGCTGCTCCATAGCAACAACGATCTTCATCAAGCGGTCATCGTAACGTTCGACATTCGCAATAGAATCGCGGAAACGTTCAGAGACAACCACACCGACGCCGCTGGTTGTCCTGGGACTGCCACAGAGAACGACTTTGAAGCCGCGGCCAATGTCCCTCGACTTACAGCAGGACCACCTCGTTTCCTGCACGGCACAGAAATCAATTCTTCTTCGCTCCAGTGCTTCTACCAACTCGCACGAGCGACCTGTCAATGTGCCAACATTCAATGTTGCAACGCGAACCTTCCATACGTTGCGGAACTTTTGGACTAGCCTAGTTGCCCCCCGATGCCGTCCTTGCACCGGAGACCCTCGCATACTTTTCACACTCGCCGGGCTTTGCGAGTGCGCGTCGGCTCCCGCGGACGCCGTAGCATTATCTCGATACTCATATAGCGACATTGACATTTGTGATGTGACGTGGGTGTTCGTAGGCCGGCCTGTCACGGGGGCCTGTCGCCTGCATTCGAATGTCCGTGGTCGGCTCAGCTCACAAAAGTGAGCAGTTTCCAGTGGCACCACTTGGAGGAACGGACACCACCACCACATAACACTTGTAAGTATGGTTGCTCTGGTGTCAACGCGAGCCAGGCAACGGAATCGACGACTTTTGCGTTCTAGCGCATCTTATCAGCCATTATCAGTT